ATAAGCAGTGGTATCAACGCAGAGTACTATAGAAAAGCTGAGTTTGAGTGGCACCAGCTCTTCGTCTTGTCAAAGTACGGATCAACTTTGTAATTCGCCAAGCATGCCTGCTTTTCATTTTTCAATATTGTCTAACAGCCGTCGCGTCGACCTCACGATGCATATCACACTGTGAATCACTTAAACAGCCGATATATTTATTTTGATTTTATTTATAAAAGAACAAGTTTATAAGAGTCAAAAAAATTTTTTTATGTGAAAATGATTGCTGTACTTCGACTCCTCTACATAGGGCAAATTATGTTTCAAGCTGATCCTATATTTTAATAGAACAAGTGTCGGCTTTGATGCCGAGATACATGTAGCAAGTCGGAAGCTTGGTTTTCAAGTGTGCACCACATCCAACACCAAGAGTTTTGGGTTTGTACTTTTTGTTCGCCAATGCATTTTTCACCTAAATGCATACATTAAGTCCAAAGAGAACCTTTTCAGAGAAAGAATATGATTTTGGAGAAGTACGGCATCTTATAGCAAATTTTTTTATCAGCGAAACTAAATCTTGCCGTTTAGTACGGAGAGCGAGAGTGTTATAAAATTAAGAGTAAGATTGAAGTCGATTAGTGTCATTTACATTAAAAACTCACTTTTTCCTAGCTTTTAAGTTTTGATTGCCATTCAAGATTTCATGGTACTCTTCATCTTACTCTAGCAAATTTTTTAGAAGCTTTACGCTTACCTTCGCATCTACCTTCTTGTCGAATATTCTCTTGAGCTCTTGCGCCGCCTCAAGATAATCTCGATAATCCCTGCAATCACACTTCTGATGCAAGAGCAAATCAGTGAAAATAACTACTTTGAGACTTGGAACTGTATGTGAATCCCATATGGCAGATACGCCTGCCATTCGTTGTTTTTCTCAATTTCTTGGAATTTGGCCATCTTCTTCAAAAAGTCATTGTAACACTGAAAATTACATCTTTTCAAGAATCCATTTCACGCTAGGTCACGGAAATATTTGCCCGATCAAGTAAAAACTAACAATTTTTAGTTTAGTTCCATTATACTTTTCCTTGAGATAATTCCTCATATATTTAGTCATCAAATTATCCTTTCCAGTGATATTCGTCTCCAAAAAACCAGCCTTCGCAACTGCCGCTATCTAGAATTTGGTTTTAGTAGATGTAGAAAATCTGGAAACAACTTACACTTAGAATTATACAGACAAGTCTCATTTCTTTGCTGAAGTTCCATCTCCGCATGTGCTATTTATACTTCTTGCTGTGATTGGACTCTTTGTTAAGCCAATGAGGTTCATTACGCAATCTTAGTTTATTATGATCACTGCGTCATTACAACATTGTTCGTCATCGAAGTGAATTCTATGTTTGTCCGCAATTATCCGCACAATTTCAAAGTGAGCCTGACCTTTGGATGGAAGCGTCATTGACGCCCTCGCTTCCTGTTTATCAACCAGCCTTGCATATTACAATTAGCCCACATAACCAGGATTGCAGATCCATTAATATCAAATGTGATACCGAATCTTCTCTTCCTCAGGTACTTGATACATCTATTTCTTTTTCTGCACAAAAATTTCACTATAGCGCTCAAACAACACCACTTTGTTATCCTTTTTTAGTAGATGCAACAAGTGCGATCTACTTGAAGTTTGAGGCACTTCTTGAAAAAATTCGTATCCATTAGATCTCCGTTCAAAACGCTTCTGGGGATCTCCAATTTGGTCAGGCATATGGTGTCCACATCATAACATTCTGCATCAGATATACGTAAATACCGCTGCTGTAATTCCTCGCATAGAAACTGAGAAAACGACAATGTCATGCTTTATCCAAACGAATGCTGTGCTGTTCACATAATTAAATGTACACTACAACCCTTTGATTGTAACTGTATACCGTGAAGTTTTAGCTTTTTACAGCAAGTATCTTACAAGGGAAGAATACCAGGTCGCAGCGACGAACCGAAATGATATGCATATAATTATATGCGTCTTGATAAGCTGATTCCAAATCTGTCTTTTTTATCTGCTACGAGCTTTTCCAGAAGAAGCTATGGATGTTTAAAGACGTGAGATTGTTGGGATTTTGATGCGTAATGCGCTCTAAAAATTGGCTTTGGAGTGATCAGTAGTTTGCATGGTCTTGAGTACACTTCTTGGGAACTAAGCCCTTTCCCATCTGGAGTCAACAAATTTGTAGCAAAGTTATTGGAGGGTCAAAGCACTAAAGCGGCAAGTGCTGACCCCCTGAAAGCATTATAAAGAATCGAAGCATTTCTGTAAAAGGTGTAGTACATTAGCGCATTTGATCGACTCTTTGACTATGAAGTAGGATGCTTTAACAGGTTCGTAGAGAATATATAGGCTTAGTCCTGTTCTCTAATTTGTTTATGCCATAGACTTTCATTCTTCTGGTATGTTTTGGAGTGTTTAAATTGACCGTTCTTGTCTAACAAGGGAAAGATAACTGGTGGCAGTAGCCTTTTAGAATATGTTATACATCAAAATGCCTTCAAACGCTGTTCTCGAAACTATCTTCGTTTGCTGCAGAACGCTTTTCCGAGAAAGATTAGCCCTTGTAAAAGCGCTGACACAAAGATATTTCAACCGACCGAGATTAAACTGGAATCCATTGTGCAGTACTCGACAGCCCTAACCACCTAGACCATTCGAAACCTTTAAGAATCTAAAGAAATCACTCGTACTCTTGTGCAGACACGTCAGATGAGGGGAAATACGGTTCTCCCGAAATATCGTTCTGCAGATAGCGAATACGGCTTTGAGATTGGGCGGATGTCGTGACATGCGTCACATATCGAAAGACCACAACCACCGAGTGTCCTCTTCCCATAAGCTCGGTTAGTGATAGCTTATCGTTTTTGTTCTGAGTTTGGGTTTTACAGAATTTGAAGAAACCTACATGGAAGAAAACTTGCAAGCTTGAATGTGGCAAATAAATCTTGTCTGAAATATTGTTTACCCTTCTTTGAATCAAATGAAACATTTTGTTGCAAAGCTAGCCTATGACTAACGATCTTATCAAAATAGTTCCTGAAACTTTTATTAAGTGTATAGAAGGATCTTTCATATGCTTATATCGTCATATATATTTCGTCTACAGATTCTCATTTAACTGTTTGCTCATCTGTACTTTTTGGAAACGATGTCTCATCATAAGGGTAGAGGAGTATTCGTCGAAAGGGAAATCCCATTGGACATCTGCAACATCAAACATTCCAATACATGAACATGCTGAGTACCTGCTGCATTTTCCGCTCGGGGCACTCCCACTTTCGGCGACATATACTCGTCCATCCCTCACCATAATCTGAGGAATTTTTGTGAGTTGCAAGCATTCCTAACCCTAAATAATTGTCTCTGGGCTTGAAACCTTTCTGTAGACCAAAAACCCCGCTGTTCGCGGCCCCGCAGAAGCGACGTGAACTGCTTTGACTAATCGCTTTTGCTTTTTCAAAGAACTGCTATATTCAAGACAAATCAATCGGTAATCAGATTTGCGTGTCAACTTGTCAAAAGTTGTGAGGTTACTCTGATCAACCACGCTTGAAGTATTCTAGATTGATTCCACACTCCAAAGTTGAATATTTCGGACACACTCGGCCACTCATGAGACAAATCAGTAAAACTCTTGAAGTTCACGATCAACACATCAATAGCTCATTTAACGACAAAAAAGGAAGCAAGATGAAATTTTGTAAAAGTAAAGCTTCTCCTCTTGAAACAAGCTTATAGCTTACGATCAGAGATGTTCAGAGAAATAGTACACATGGACATGAACTGGTGCTAAAGTTGTGCGGAAAACTCGTCCACCTAGCGATAGGCGGGGTTAGCAATGCGCACTTTATTGACACATGCTTGCCTAAGCGCGCGCTATCATTCATAAAGTCCGCACCCAAGAACCAGCACAGCCAAATTTGATGAGGCACTGCATTCAAGCTCTGCTGTGCGTTATCGTCATGGTATACTGGACTAGCGGGGGCTCTAAATTCGAAACAGAGAGTTTGATTGTAAGACTAATGTTTAGAAAATACCCTTCTCCATCGGCTTCTTTCAAAGCAAGGTATAAGGCACTGTTAACGTGATTAGTCAGTAAACTTGTAGCAAATTGTACATCCTCTTGATATGGACAAGAAAGTCGAAATTGAATGTGGGCTACCAAACATTGTGCAGAATACAGCTCTGTTATATTCGAGCTCATTCAGAAATAGAAAGGGAATTTGTAGCAGAAGAACTGGGACGTTGAGTCGTACCTAAAGCTCATCATTGTTGAAAACGTCACATGACGGAAATTTTTTTCTCAACACAGGGCGATGTAAAATTATTTCACTTGGAATCAAGTTTCGTGGATCCGGACACATTTCTCACATTATTGTTGTTAGCGGTGTATTTGGTTGTCAAGAAAATAATGTCCGTTTTTATTTGCTTGCTTTAACAAAGCAACCAGACTCAACCCAACAAAGGGTAAGGGGTACTGTTCGATAGAGCAAAGCAAGCTCTACAAGATGACACTCATGTCTTTGCGCCATGCTTGATCCACGGAGAGTTTGAACTCAAAATCTAAAGAATTCCAAATGCCCAAAAAATAGAAAAAAAATCAGATCTTCGTCCAAATAATTTCTACGGACCTCCCACTCGCTCACATCAATGGTATCGATATCTAATATCCATATGTGCGATTGCCGTATTTTTTCCTTGACTAGAAACTGAGAAAACGAAAATTTCCCTAATTTTCTCAAAGCAATGCTGAGCCGTTTTTGCATATGTAGCTCTATACTACAAGCCTAGGTAAGTATAACTGTAGATTTTCAGCCCATTCCAAGCTGTAGTTTTCGAAAAATTACGAGTTCGGATTTTTTCGTTTCAGTTTCAGTGCTAAAATCGACATTTCTCGAAAAGTACCGCTCGAAATAGGCTGAAAACCTACAGTTATGCTTACCTAGGCTTGTAGTATAGAACCACATACGCAAAAACGGCTCAGCATTGCTTTGAGAAAATCAGGGGAATTTTCGTTTTCTCAGTTTCTAGTCAAGGAAAAAATACGGCAATCGCACAAGTGGATATCAGATATAGATAGTATTGATGTGAGCGAGTGGGAGGTCCGTAGAAATTATTTGGACGAAGATCTGATTTTTTTCGATTTTTTGGGCATTTGGAAATCTTTAGATTTTGAGTTCAAACTCTCCGTGGATCAAGCATGGCGCAAAGACATGAGTGTCATCTTGTAGAGCTTGCTTTGCTCTATCGAACAGTACCCCTTACCCTTTGTTGGGCTGAGTCTGGTTGCTTTGTTAAAGCAAGCAAATGAAAACGGACATTATTTTCTTGACAACCTAATACATTATGTCTGAACAAAATTATTTCGATTTTGCCAGGATGTCTATCTGCCACTTGCCAAAGGATAGCATTTTACTTTTCAATCTGTTTTTCTTGTTTTTTATGAGATAAACATAGCGGTTCATGTAATCACCATCTCTTTGACAGTTTCCAAGAAATATCAGCACGAAATTCCTGTGAAAAACATCTTTACTACTTCTTCTAGAGTTTCGAAAGCGTCCAACTCTTTGATCGTCTTTAATGAAAATATAATTGATCAGTGCGTCACCTCTGCTTCGCAGAGGCTCGCACTGGCCCTACTTTCTGTATGCCTAACTCATTCCCACATAATAATGACATTGAAACTCACCGAGCCATGCAGGCTATCACGAATGATTTGTAAACAACTATTCATTCCTAGAGTTTTGTGTGAGATCGGTATTTTCGCGTGGATGAAACTTTTCCGAGAAGAATTAATGCGAATTTGAATCGGTTTTTAAACTTTTTATGCCCTGGTAGTCGCCATAACTACAATAGTCACCGTGGACTACATCCCTGTGCAAAAATCTTCTCAAACGATCAGGTAAAATCTTGGCAAATTGAACATTTATGCAACTTATCCTTTTTGGCGCCATTTTCGTAAACTAATCAACTTTTCAATTTTTTGGGTTAATGTCCATGGCTTGCACATTAGCTTGTCAAACATAACCATGACTTCGCAAAAAGTGTTGGTACCGGCCCAAATTTGCTGATCAGAAGCCAAGTGGATCCGTTTTGACGCCTAATTTTTAACAGACCCACTCAACGGATCCGCTCATGCTTTTGCATAGTGAGCTTTCATGCAGGTAGAGTGCTCTATGCAAAATTTGGGCTTAGGACGTTGGCTGGAACACGCTGTACGAATTT